CCCCCCCCCCCCCCCCCACACACACACAACATAGTGAAAGCTCTTATTTTCTACTGTTACTCATATTAAAGAGGAAGAATAAGTTGAAGGCCACGAAAAGAAGATAATGATGATGAAAATAATCTAATTTTGCGCCGGGGGTAGGTAATACAGGAAATTATACAATAAATGAGAGTAAGAAGTATTCAAGTTGGTCATAGGTCCAACACGTGGGAATATTCCAAAAAATATTCTCACGGCTGGTTAACAGAAGGTACCAACTTACAAAATTTTGCCAACTCAGGGTATTTTTTGCTATATTTTGTAACTTAGAGTATATAACTGTTTCAAGAGCGAAACACATAGGGTATATAAATGTAATTTAGCCTTTAAACTTTTGAGGTTGTTTTTATAATTTTTAAAATGTTGAGGGTGTTAATTACAAGTTTTAAATTTTTAGATATCATGTTTGTTTTTAAGTTAAAAAAAGTCAATGTGTTTTGTGTAATTTTAAACTTTTAAGACTATTATATGCAAATTTTGAAACTTTTGGGTTTTTTTATAATACTTAATATATTATAATATGTTATCTACGTATAATTTCTTAATCTTATTTTTTTCTATATTTTTGAGTTATAGGTAGTTCATATGGAGTTAATATAGGATATAATTAGTATTTGGATAGATTAAGTTTTAACTGAAATATTCAAAATAACTTTTTTTAAATTGTTGACCTACAAATAGTTCACGTGGAATTAGATAAGGTGTGATTAAAATTAGAATAAATTAGGATAACATGTAATATTTAAAAAAACTAAAGGTAATACTGACCATAAAAAGATTTTTTTCGAAATAGTACTTTTAAAGTGAACATAAAATGAAAAATAAATTAAAAATTCATGAGTACCATGCTATCTTGCGATCAGGACTGGACATGACATTGTTATGAATCCATTTGCACGACAAGACCCGCGGAATCACGGAGCGTTATGGGTTTTATAAAATCGATTTATTTGTGTAAATTATCATGGCATTGTTACTCTTTTTCTTTATGAGTTTTATAAAATCAATTTATTTCTATAAATTGTAAGATCTTACTTTTTCTAAATAAGAGTTTGCTATTAGATTTTGCCCTTTTAATGCGAGGATTGATAGCCAGTTTTTATTAGGCTAAATATCAGGGAACCCCCTCTACTTTGTATGATTATTGGATAACCCTTCATAAATTTGAAAATATCAAATCCGGTTATGAGAAAACCTCCATTAAGTTTAAGTGTTAGCAGAAAAAACCATTGAACTTTGATATTTTATTAAAAAGACTCCCTATAAGTTTAGAGGTTATCAGGAAACGTCCAGATTATTATAAACCCCCTTTAACTTTGTGATTCATAGGTCAATGTAACTTTGATTATTAGAGTGAGGTTAACTTCGATTATGAGCAAAGTTATCTACTGAATAGTCTATGCCGCAACACTCCCGACCTCCCCCCCCCCCGAAAGCGGGTGGGTGACGAAGGCAGCGAGCCTCTGAAAGGCCCGCGGCGTTAAGCCATGTTCCTTAAATATTTTACTAATCTTGGCGGTCGGGCAAGGTAGGGGGACCCAGTTTACGGGGTTTATTGGTAAGGATAGGGAACTCGAACTCCCATAATGTATGTTATTTGCCGATGATATATTGTTAATTGATGAAACTAGAAGAGACATTATTTTTAAAGTAGAAAGATGGAGATCGCAAGTTTTGAATTTAAAGGTCTTAGAAGTAGAACAAAAACAGAATATATATAGTGCATTTTTAGTGATACTAGAAAGGAAGAGAGCCTATGGTATATATTAATGGCCAAGAAACACCTAAAACTAATCATTTTCGTTATTTAGGATCAATCATTAGACATATTGGTGAGATATAGGATAATGTTGTGCATCGAATCAAATCGGGATGGTTGAAATGAAGGAGTGATTCAGGAGTTTTACGTGATTGTAGATACCAATGAAACTAAAGGGAAAATTTATATGATGGTTATAAGACCGATTATGCTTTTATGGGTCAGAATGTTATGCAATTAAAAAAATAACATGTTCAAAAAATAAGTGTAGCAGAAATAAGAATATTGTGATGGTCTTATGGGTATACATTAAAAGATATGACAAGAAATGAGTGCATATATAGTAAATTAGATGTTGCTCTTATTAAGGATAAAATGAAAGGTAAAAGCTAGATTAGGATGATTTGGTGATGTACAACGAAGACCCGTTAGTGCATCGATTAGAAAAAACGATAATATTAGAGTTAATGGGGCTAGAAAAACTAGAGACAGAACTAGAATGATCTGATTAGAAGCAATTAAGAAGGATGATTAGGACTAACTTAACAGATGATACGACCCATAACAGAATGGAATGAAAAAAATAGGATTTATGTAACCGACCCCAAACATTTAGGATAAAAATTTGGTTGTTGTTGTTGTACATGGGACTCGAACTCGGGTATTGACTCGGGATCCTACTGCCTTACCAAGTTTTCATTGTCTCAAAAAAAAAACCAAAAACTACTGGGTACTTTAATTAATTCTAAAAAAGGGGAAAGGCAAGAAAAACAAAAAGATATTCGAGAAAAAATGGGGTCCAAATGAGAAAAAGTAAATTACAGTAGAAATTAGTATAGCAGTGACCTAAAAGGAAATCTATTACTCTATAATAACGGGAGAATTCAAAATTCACTATTTATACTACAGTAAATGCTATAGTAATTACCGTAGCATTTTGTTACTGTAACACAGACGGGGGATCCGAGATTCACTATTCATCCTGCAATAAAAATTTGTAGCATTATTACTGTAGCATAGGCGGAGATTGTAACGTTTCAGAATATCACTGTAGATCAGACGGGATATTGTAGCATTAAAAAATGCTACTGTAGTACTTACAAAACTGCATCTAAATACAGAATTACTGTAGCAAAAATAAAAAAATGGAGACCGTGCATGGGTTACACACTAGTTAGGGGAAAGAAGAAGAAGAAGATACTGTTATTCATTTTGAGCGGATAACCATTAAGGGGTTGTTCGTTTCGCAAAAAAAATTTAGGAAATCAAAGAATAGGAAACCTATTTCCTATAATAATTGTTTTGAGGTTGTTTGGTTGGCTTAAAAAAGAAGAAAACTATAGAATAGGAGATGAGATGAGATGAGTTGTCACCTTATTATTGGATGATGTGAGTGATTTTTTAAAAAAAACTTGTTTTGAGGTTGTTTGGTTGGTTAAAAAAAATAAGGAAATGAATTGGAGGTATGTTATTGGATGATGTTTTGAGGTTGTTTGTGTTTGGTTCATTTTTAAAAATAAGAAAATAGATGAGATGAGATGAGTTGGAGGTATATTATTGGATGATGTAACACATACTTAAGGAAATCAATTTCTTGTTTTTTTTTGAGGAAATGAATGGAAAGGAAGGTTTAATGAGATGAGATGAGTTGTCATAATATTATTGGATGATGTGTGTGATTTTTAAAAATAAGATAAGATGAGATGTGATGAGTTGGATGATGTGACACATTTTTTGTGTTTGGTTTATTTTTAAAGGTAAGAAATGAGATGAAATGAGATGAGTTGGAGGATAAAAATATTATTTTATTGGATGTTGTGGGTGAGTTTTAGGGATGGAAATGGATAAAAATATTATTTTATTGGTTTTCTTGTACCGATTTTATTTTCTTGGTTTTTAGGAAACCAACCAAGCGGCCCCTAAGGGGCTGTTTGGTTGTATGTTTTTATCAGAGCTTTGCTACAGGGACCCAAAATATAGGACCAATAAGGGGGACAAGTGAGGTGTCCTCTTCCTATTGGATAATGAGTTGGCCATCATTAATGATGGCCAACTCATTATCCAATAGGAGGGAGACACCTCACTTGTTCCCCCTATTGGTCCCATATTTTGGGTCATTGAAGAATTTTTCTTTTTATCATGTAAAAGGATGGAAAGTGTAAAAAATGGGTCCCAATATCAGCTTTCATCACTTTCAATTGTTTGTTTGTAGTTGTGAAAATAGTGTAAAGTGATTTCATATGCTGATGTGGCTTGTAAAGTGATTTCATAAAAAAAAACATGATTTTAGGAGAAAGCTGACATTAAAGTCACGAAAAAATAATAAAAAATAACTCCAACCAATATGATCATTTGATTATGGACCACTTTTTGTACTTTCCAAACAAACAATTAAAGTTTCATTTGAAAAACAAACAAGCAATTTATGATCACAATGGAATAAAAAACAAACAAAGAAAAATATAAAAGTAAAATTAATAAGATGGGTAACGACTTTACAAATCGTGTCATAAATACACAACTTTACGGACAACAACCAAACAGTCCATAAAAATCGAACGGACTAAAGGCCAAAAAAGCGCCCCCATTTCCGGTGGTAGGAATTTTGACTGCTCGCTTAAAAAGCTGAAAAGTAGGACGAATTATAAGAGAGGCTTTAACCCTCACCGGCGAGTAAGCACACCGCCCAGTTCAAACCTCAAAAAACTACTGTCAGAAATCACAGCAATAGCGTGTGTATCTACTACTCTCTTACAATTACATCTCTGCCCCTCATCAGAAAACAGCCTCAGCGTAAAACCCCCCCACATGGACACAGTGTCAATCTCGTTATTCCAACTAAACATCAAACCCAAAACGCTTAAGTACGCCACTGAGCAAAGAAAGCATCCGATACCATTTAAAAAGCTCGAGCCCCCTTTTTTTTAATGGCAGCAGCTCAAGCGAGTGACCTCACGAGCTCACACCGTCCTCTCTCTAAACCCTAACCCTAATTAATCCTAAATTTTCCCCGCTATGGCAACGAGAGAGGCGACGCCGCCGCCGGTAATAGGAAAGGCCGGGCGTTACACCGTCTTCATTACGCCGCCGGCAACTCCGAGGCCGTCGGAGGGTTCTAGATCTCAGAGCTCCAGTCCGAGCCCGAGCCCTAAGATCAGCCCTAGAAATGTGGCCCCTTTGCAGTCGGAAACATTTAGATCTCTGAGCTCTAGCGCTAGAGAGAAGATGAGGTCGAATTTGAGCCCTAAGGTTGGGGTATCTTTGCCGGTGAAGTCTCCGTCGGTGGAGCCTCCGTCTCCGATGGTGGCGCCGCCGCCGCCGCCTGTTCAGGTTCCTCCGCCGCAATTTGAGAAGGGAAAAGGGGGGAAGTCTGCGGGATCGTTTGGGTTCTTTTGGGACGCTGTTGCTAAAGTGCAAAATGGTATCATTTATGAGATCCTGTGGAATTTTTAGAGTTTTGGATTTTTTTAATAACTTAAGAATTGTTTTCACTCTCAGTTATCTCTACAGCATCGTAACTGGTTTATAAATTTTTTTGACGGTCTTCTTTCTTTTTCCTGGGATTTATAAGAATTTAGCAGACTATAACTTATTTCTGCCACGTATAATTGAATTCTCTAGTATTATTCATTGTTCGGTTTGCAATAATGCTTCTCTTTCTGTTTATTTCTCACGTTTCTGAGTGTCATCGAAGTTCTAAATTAAGCTATACAAGATGTTAAAATTTTCAGGACTTGTCACTAACACTTGCTATTTAGTGAAATAATTAATACTGTAGTTAAAAGTTCTAGCTACCTTTTTTCTATTTTTTTTAATTTCCTAATTTCAACCTTGAGGAAAATTATTTACTCAATTATAATGCGTGTTTGGTGTTTTGGGCAGCACATTCAAGCTTAGACCAGTATCTTGCAGATTGGCTGGGATTAGATCAATCAAGGTATCAGTGGGCGTTGAATGATTATTATGAAAACAATGGATCTGTAAGTGCTGTTTCTGCCTCTGATGCTACTAGTATTGGGCATATGTTCATCTCAGGAGCTAGACTTTTATGCAAATGCAAGTCATATTTTCATATAGTTGTTGAGTTGAGAAAGTAAGTAAAGCTAAATATATCTATTCAATACCGGTTAGAAAGAGCTTTGTTGGTTTTTGCAGTCTTTATGGTGTTTCTAAACTCTTAAATTGCTATAATACTTTGGAAACGCTTTATGATGCAAGTGAATCTTGCCCGTATATTCTTGCTCTCTCTCCTTCTATATTCATCCAACAGTCTTGCAAGTGTTGCGACGCTGAACTTGCCCATAATCTGCGTTTGATGGCTCCATCTCTAAACAATTGATTTGCCCGGGAATGGGCATCAGAGCAGGAGGAAATGTAGTAATATAGTGAAAGGATGGAATTTGGTAGTACCTTGAGACTCATTTGGAGACCATTCATCTCTGTGCAGTTTTCACTCTGTGAATTTTTCACTCCTTTGGAAGTAAAAGACACATACTAGTACCGGAATTTGCTCTGCATCATTCGCTTTTGCTGGAAATGACTCGTCCTGGAGTCTAAAACTATGGAAATCTTGACCCCTTCTATATTTCTTGCTCATGAGGAATTCTTGTATCCATTATTGCGGTGATACATTAGGATTGGGTTGTCTGATGGGCCATCTTTCATGATCTTTAGTAATTGAAGTTTATGGGATGGGAGAGGCTATAATTGCAGTTGCATAACCCTTAGTTAGTGTGGCAACAATAGTTGGGCTAGATTTGAGCAATAATAACTTCTAGCTTTTGCCAAACACACAAAATCTCCAGGAGTTACTCTTTGTAATTTTTATTTTTTATTTTTGGAAATTAGTTTTAAAAAATGCCATCTTACTTTTGGGTGAGAAGGAACTCTAATTCCATCTATGAAATGGAACTATACTGATTCCTGGTGAGTTATGAGCTCCATCCAACTCCTCTCATAACATAAGTGCAAAACTCCTACACCCTAACTCTCATAACTCGTCTTGCTCAACAACAAAAGAAGACCTCACGGGAAGGCTGTTATATGCCTAATATAGAGGGTATCGACGTAGCTGTGGAGGGGTACTTAATGAAATAAAAGACTTCATAGTTTTGTTTTTGTGCTCTTACAGTTGAAAATTTTACCTTTTTATGATATTTCTTATGTTCTATCATCATGGTTTCATATTTTTTTGATAGGTAGCTTGTTCAAACGTAAAATTATAACCATCGATCCACACCATAACTTCGGAGTTTTGATGCAACGGCATGGACTTTAGGACGATATCGTAACAACCCAATTTCAAAACCCATTGGCCACAACTTTAAAGTGGCTTTTAAAAAAAGTTAATACTGCTGTGTGAGTTTAGATTTCGACTCATTAAGAAAGGGCGCTCAACCTGCGGTAAAATTTTAACCCACATCACAACTTTGAGGTTTTGATGCAGCGATAAGGACTTTAAAACTTGTTTTTCTTGTGCTCTTAGTCGAAGTCAAATTCATGTGATCTTTTTAAATCTTGTTAATTATTTTTAATATGCCTACATTCTTTCTGGCCCATGAAAGGTGAAAGTCAGCAATTTTTACTGGAAATATTCAACCTTCAAATTAAAATTTGCAGATATCTCCTTTTTATTTATTTTTTTTGTTTTCTATCATATCTAATTCAAATCTGGCTTTCCTTTATGATGCCACATCTGTAGGATGGTTATGTTTTTGAGTTGCTCTCCGTGTCCACTGTACATTTTGATACCAATTAGTTGGCTTACTCATTTCATGTAAGGTGGATGTATCTTTAATTGTGTGCCAACATCCCAGAAATTTAACTTTGACGTCAAAGTTGAACAAGAAATTGTTACTCTATGGCAATATGTCTGCTCAACAACTGGGCTTTCTTTACGTAATTATTATAACCGGTCAGTCTCATAATTAGAGGTTAGTCTGTTAGGATGTTAGCATCATAGTTTTTTCCTACTGGAAGTGCTCTATGCCCTTGGTGTTTTTTGGACAGATATCCAATGGGAGACCCTGTAGCATAAGTGGGGCATAGGCGACCTGAGGCATCTCACATACAATTGGCATCAGAATCAGTAAATATTTTTAGCTCTTAACCTGAAAGGCCACCTTGTAAAGAGTTACATAGGCAAATTATTTTTGTTTTGTTTTGGTAGGTACTTTGGACGCTAGGCAGGTCTCCCCGACAAAGCTGATACATCCCCGACATAAGAATCACATCCTCAGATGAATGTGTTTAATACAGCACAGTCTTTATAGATAGCTGTAATTGGTTTGTCTTTGCATCATAGTTTCTCCAAAGCGCCATCACATCTTCAGCAACTTTTGCCTCTCAAAAGGTTTTCAACCACTCGTATTCCATTGTCCATCTCTCTCTATATTTTAGCTAGGCAGATGATAACTCCTACTAAGTTTAGAGGTCATGATGCTTTGTTTGTTGTCTACCGGCTGGACAGTGGACTTCACTGGTTAGAGGCTAGATGCTAGCTGTTTTTGAGATCCCCCCCATGGGCATAACATTTTTCTTTTTAACTCCACTACCTCTTCAACGTGTCCTATTCATAATTGAGTTATATATGTCGTTCTTGTTATTGTTTCTGTTGTGAGATTATGATGCATTACTTGATATAGAGACAGCCCATACATTTAAAATGGTATGAATTCCAATGAATTGGAATAATTCATGAACCTATGTTACTCTGTTTCTTACAGGCCAAGGATGGTGGTAAGTCGAAAGAACTTGCTAGCAAAGGGCAGACCGTATAATATCAACATGTTAACGGGTAGGCATATTCTTTCAGGCGAAAGTTCAATTTGCTGGGATTTCCTCTTTTACTCAATCCTTTTCAACAGATTTTCAAATTTCTCAATTATTCAGGATGCCATTTGTATGATTTGATATATCAAAGTAGAGTATAGGATCGCCATTTGGATCTTTTCCAGCGATCTTGCCGATGATTGTTCCTCTTGCTGCTGCAGTATCAGCTACAGTGTGGGAATGGTAGTATGAGGCTACATAACGTATGAAGGGCAGAAGTGCCGCCATTCAAAATATTATTAGCTTGTTTGTTGTACGTCCCCTGGAATGAAATGAATTATTAATGGGTCACAGTTTTATTTTGACCAATGGCCAAGCAAGTCCCTGGTTTGTTGAATGTTTTAAGGGTTCCATCATTAATTCAGCTTGGTGGGTTTTTACTGTTTTCTTGAGCACTGCTTGATAATGGTTCCTTACGCAATTGTCTTTGTTCGTGCCCCTTTATCCTTTCCCATATGATTTGAACTGAGAATTTGGGACCATTTTGGGTATGGCCAATCCAACCAGGATCCTCTCCTCATGAGGAGAGTCCTCATGTCTCCTCATGAGGAGAGAGAGAGAGAGATAGAGAGGAGAGAGAGTGAAGTTTTTCTCTCTCCTCTCAATCTCTCTCTCTCCTCATGAGGAGATATGAGGACCTCTCCTCATGAGGAGAGGATCCGGGTCCTGGCCAATCTCAAGCCTGATGGACAAATTTTCAAAACCAACCCTTTTAGACATTTAATTACAAAAACCGACCCCTTTTCATAATAATTGGTTGAGTATAATTTGTTGTTTTTTAATGCTGAGGATTTTCTGTAAATTTAGACTTAACATAAATCAAATTAGACTTAACTAGAAATAAGACTTAAAATAATGATGGATAATCTAATAATGCATATAGATTTTTGGCAAAACTTTGTTGTAGGCCCCTTATGTGCTAGCCAAAGTATCGTTTCGGATCATTAATATTTAGAAATCATCAACCACACAGTCATTAATATTATCATTGTCATCAATCTCCTGGTTTGTTGAATGTTTTAAGGGTTCCATCATTAATTCAGCTTGGTGGGTTTTTACTGTTTTCTTGAGCACTGCTTGATAATGGTTCCTTACGCAATTGTCTTTGTTCGTGCCCCTTTATCCTTTCCCATATGATTTGAACTGAGAATTTGGGACCATTTTGGGTATGGCCAATCCAACCAGGATCCTCTCCTCATGAGGAGAGTCCTCATGTCTCCTCATGAGGAGAGAGAGAGAGAGATAGAGAGGAGAGAGAGTGAAGTTTTTCTCTCTCCTCTCAATCTCTCTCTCTCCTCATGAGGAGATATGAGGACCTCTCCTCATGAGGAGAGGATCCGGGTCCTGGCCAATCTCAAGCCTGATGGACAAATTTTCAAAACCAACCCTTTTAGACATTTAATTACAAAAACCGACCCCTTTTCATAATAATTGCAAAATCCGACTTGTTTTCAGCCCAGTGCTGAAAACAGGTCGGTTTTTGTAAAAAATTCTCCGAAACATCACGGGAGTTCAACTCCCGTGAAGTTTATGGAGAAATTAAACTTCACGGGAGTTCAACTCCCGTGAAGCTTAATTTTTGCTTAAAACTCCACGGGAGTTCAACTCCCGTGGAGTTGCAGTCAACAAATCCAGAGAATCGATCTCTGGAAATTGTGACTGCAGCTTCACGGGAGTTCAACTCCCGTGAAGTTGCAGTGCCAGTTTTCCAGAGAATCGATCTCTGGAAAATTGGCACTGCAACTCCACGGGAGTTGAACTCCCGTGGAGTTTGCTGCCACCTATTTAAGCGCGCGTGACCCCCCCCCCCCCCAGCCCACAAACCCTAACATTTCAACTTCGTTCCCAAACGCCGCTTCCCAGTTCCGTCGCCACCCCAGCCTCCAACCGCCGCCGCCCCAGCCTCCGACCCCCGCCTAAAAATCTAGATTTTAGAATTTAATTGTGAATTGTTTACGAATTTTATGAAGAAATGTGAAAATTAGATTGGAAATTATCAATAAATGTGAAAATTAAAGGGAAAATTATCAATAAATGTGAAAATTAGAAGGAAAAATATCAATAATTTTGTGAAGAATTAGTGTGTAAAGTATCAATAATTTTGTGAAATTAGAGGAAAAATTATCAATAATTTCGAAAATTATTGTATTTAGAGTTTAGTGAAATTAGAGGAAAAATTATCAATAATTTCGAAAATTATTGTATTTAGAGTTTAGAATTTAATTGTGAATTATTTAGATTTTGTGAAGAAAAATTAGATTTTAGATTTTTGCATATGTATGATATAAATTAGATTTTAGAATTTAATTGTGAATTATTTACGAATTTTGTGAAGACGTATTAAATAATTTTGCGTATTTAGAGGTGAAATTATCAATTAATGTGGAAATTAGAGTTACTACCTAAATGTAAAAATTAGTAACAATCAATATTTATTTGGCTTTTCGTGTAATATTGATATTGAATTTTTCACTCTTCAGAGGTAACGATGAATGATCGAATTGTAATTCTCTGTTCTTATGATGAGAAGATTAATTACCTCGAGAATAATATGCCCGTTTATGAAGGAGGCACGACAAGACCGTTGTTCATAACAAAATCGTGTACTTTCGATGATTTGGTTAATGAATTACACAAACTTATATTAACTAACTCACGTGAGTATCACCTCAGTGTGGTTTGCAATTATCCTGTTGTGGAGAACAGAACAAGTGGCATTCAAATATCAAGTGACTACGATATGGGTCTCATTCATGTCTTACACGACGAGAAGCGTTCGGTCGAATTGTTCATTGAAAAACATCAGAGAGATTTGGGCAAATCGTTGAACTACGAAGGAATGTATTCCCGCATGTTGGAGGATCCTGAAGTTGATTCTGTAGGCTTTTTATCTCCTCAACAAGATGAATGTTGGACACAATCACAATACATGAGCGGTCCTTCGTTCGTGGGCACTTCGAATGCTTTCGATACTAACACGGGAATTCAAGAAGATAATGCAAGTGTTGAATCCGAGAATGATGAAGAGGAGGGATTACAAATTAATAGCATGACCTTGATAGATCGTGATGACGGGGAAAACCAACACATCGACGGGGCTTATGTTAATAATGAGTATGTCGGCTTAGAGGATCCGCCGCCCGATGAACTTCAAGGAGATGAATGGATTGATAACTCCGCGATGGAAAGTGTTCCTATTGGCACTAATAGCGGTGTTGATACACAGGCCGAGGACTTCTCATTCATCAAGGGAGATCTTTACGAGAGTAAGGAGAAATTGATCCATGCTATTCGCACGTATTCCATTGCAAAAAATGTGAAGTTCAGGCCAACCAAAAATAATACTACAAGCTATAATGTGGTTTGTTTCTATCGCAAAGATGACGATGTCGAAGATAATAGTGGACACCACGACGGCAATGCGAGGTGTCCGTGGAAGCTTAATTCACGCTCGGGTTCAAGAGTAGGTGGGCAATTCAAAATCACGGCATACAATGGACTCCACACTTGTAGCAATCCTCGATTAGAGATGAATAACAAGAATGCGTCCTCTTCTTTTATATATCGATTGATTTTACCGCATCTGAGGGAGGATCTTGATCTAAGGCCGAAAGATATCCGTCTTTTAGTGCATAAAGCCACCAACTTGGATGTATCATATCACAAGTGTTGGAATGCTAGGAGGAAGGCGATGATAAAAATATTCGGGGATTGGGATAATTCGTATGAGATCTAAGCTAAATTATAACATTTTTTATTGAGTTGATACTTAATAAATTGTTTACCACGCAGGTCCGTGTTTTAGATAGCATTGATGCTGATATTGATGCGCACATGACTGAGATTCAGGATCAGGTGGCGTTAGGTCTCCTCAGCAGGATCAAGAAGAGCATAGCGCAGGTGTTCCATAAGACTCACGTCGACGAGTTCGCAGGCCGTGAGGACAGGTCTCGCTCATTTGGACAGGCGTACGCTCGACGTCGACGGCCACGTGATGATGACGCCGGCACTTCGCATGCCGATGAC